GTAATCCTGTGCTGTACAAGAAGCTTCTTAGAGTTTTTTATTTTTAAATGGTTTTTTTTTTTTTTTTTGTGATTCTGGGGTTTTTGTTCTGTTTTGGTTTTATTGCTTACCTTGACTCTACGGTTTGTGGCTATAACAAATATGATTCCTTGTGTGAGGATGTGCAGGTTGCCAGGACCTTTCAACTTAAGTTAATACACATACATAATCAAGTTCTAGTGTTCTCATTTCTGTAAATTGCTTATCAGCGTATCACATTTGCAAAACTGCCCAAAGAACTTCACTTCCCAAAGCCTGAAGCCTCTTAGCTTTTCAGGGAAACCAAAGGTCCCAGTGCTCACACTTGTAGAGCTTGGTAGTTCAAAACCAAATGCCAACAGCAACAAAAGTGTGATTTAAAAAAAAAAAAAAGTCCTCATGACAGTTATGTCCAACTTGATAGCTCAATATTTGGGATTGGTACTAGGGTTTTATGTATGTCAAAACCACAAATAATTTGAAAGCAAATTATATTTGCAAATTATTATTTCAAAAATTTGCTTTGGAAGTTAGCTCTGTATATGCAAATAAGGTGTCTACATTTTTCTGAGTTACTGTAATTTACTGCCTGTCTTCGATGCTCCACAACCAGGAAGCCTGAAATAAAAGCCTGTCTCTGTCCATAGTAATCTGTTTTTGAAGAGATGTTTGAAGGAGTTGGAGGGTAGCAAAGGAGATTCAGATCTCTCTCTCTTTCATTAACATTAAGCCAGACAATCCCAATTCCAAAATTTTATTACAGGCCTCGATTACAAATGAAATGTTTCAGATACTTGTACTGCTTCCAGTAACCTCTTTCTCATCATCTCATAAAATCACCCCCAAGGAGAGTGAAGCTTAAATACTGATGGGTCTGAGTATGTCACCAGTTATCTGCTAAAGTGGAGACAATATTGTTTGTATTCAAGCATGAATTCCAATGACATTTAACAAAGTTAATTTTATCTTTATTTGGTATTATGAATTTTGCCTCATTCTGTTCACTGTTGCTTTCTTTGAAATGCCTCTCAAATTTCACTGGCACTGGACCATCCTTGGTGATTGCTGCCACATGCCTGTCTAGCATGAAAACATCTTTATTACTTCAGAAAGTCTATCTTTAATGGCTTGGAGATATTTGCATCTGGTTTGGAATTATGACAAGCAATAGTCATATTGAGAGAGCTGTTTGTTTGGCTTTAATGAGCATAAGCTACAGCTTGCATTCAAGAAACTGCTTGGAATTAATAACATAGCAAATGACTTGTGCTGCTCAAATCCATTCTGTCTGGGTGCTTTAACGGGCAGGGGTTAATAGGAGTGTGGGAACATTTTTGGCCATGGAAAATAAAGGGGGCTTCCATAGCATTACTGTTATCTTCTTTTTGTATCAGCTCCAGTTTTAAACCAGCAGCGTGGAGATATGCATTGCAGCAACAAAGCTGAAGCAATGCATGTTGAAACATTTACTGGGGAGGTGTAAGGAGAGAAAATACCCTTAAAATCTTCACACAGAGGGGAGATGCTTCCACCTTTAGCGTACAAATCATGGCAATTTTCATTCCTCCTTTAGAGTGGCTGCTGTGTGTCTGATAAAATAGATTAATGATGAATTATATGTCAAAAGAATTTACTTTGGTTGCTTTGCTAACACTGGTGTCGTTTCTTCCCTACAGGTATTTCTGTAACAAAGAAGACTCATACATGTAAGTAATGTCTTTTGATTTGGCCTTCTCTCACAAATGGAATTTCTGTTAGGCCGTGCTGTGGTGCTCAGACTAATTGATGTTAGTCTGGCCTGAGAAAGCTCCACTTTAAAAATTCTTGTATTTTTTTCTGCCTTAGGGGTTTCAGTCCTTGCCCAAAGTGTTGTTGGATGTACAATGTGTGTCTGTATATGTGGTACTCACACGTCTGTCAAGTCAGAGGGCAGAAAAAGAAAAAAGAAAGTTCTGAGGAAAGGCAGAATTCCTTACTGTATTATATCTACCTTACAGCTGGCTGATAATTAACATCCAGAAAATGCTGGTGAGGTGAATGATTATTTTTATGTCTGTTACATATGCAGTATGATTCAAATCAAAATAATTTAATTGTAGAGCTTCTGTCCCTCCCTATGCACTCATCTATATGATAAATCATTCTCTGCCTGTGCTTGAGGAACTCGAGGAACAACTGGAAGTTCTTGTTTTGCTCTCAACAATATCAGCAAACAGCCCCCAAAAGTGGTGACCTTGGAAATGGCTGTGGATGTGTGCATTTACTTATATATACATTTATTCCAAATCCTCTTCAAAGACATCATTTCTGGGGATCAACTCTTATCTATCCTGCAGGGAGCTCAAAGCACAGTTCTGAGAAAATGCTGGGATTTGGAGCTGAAGGAGCACGTTGAGATTCTACAGATAGTGTGGAGGTTTGGCAGTTTGGTAGCACAAGAATTGTACTTGCCCAGGATATGAAACAGGAGTAGGCTAAAGCTGAGGCTGTTACTCTCATGAAAGCCCTCTTACAAAACAGGTGCTAGGCAGCTAAAAATTTACAAATATATATGGTTTTTATGCATTTTCAAGTATTTGCATCACAGCTGCTAGGATGTTGTAAAGTGTCTTACATGGCTTTCATTCTTATTTCATGCCTGGTTTTATAGTGCTCATGGAGTGAAAAATCTGACTTGAGATGATGAACTCTCACTGTATAGACTTAAAAAGCAGATTTGAGAATTTCAAACGAGAAGCTGATCTGTGTGAGTTTTGAAACAAATTTTAAATGTCTGAAACTTTCAGAGCATGATGGTCCTCCTTTGCTTAAGTGGGCTTGCTGCTTAATGCATTCTGAGAGCCAGACCCTCTTTGGCTGAATGATGGTTAATTGAACTTAGAGCTACAGGCAGGCAGCTGAGGGCAGAATTTCACCCTGGTATTTTTGGGGAATATTTGAGCTCGTGCTGACTCTGATTGGCAGCACAGGGCACTGAAGTGCTCCTTACATCTCCAGGCCAGGCAGTGTCCATCTGCCTTGCACAGCCTTGCCCACGGGCTCAGCCCTGTGTGGGGCCACCCCCTCTCTGGAGGTGCTGGGTGTTTGTGCCAGCTCAGTGCTGAGCTCTCTGTGTGCAGGTGAATGTTGGTTTGTAACACCCCTGGGAATCAGCCAAAACCACCCTGGGTTTTGTACAGCAGTGCCATGAGCTGACCCAGAGAGCCACAGCTCCAGCTTTGGGAATTTTGTAGAGAAGATGAAGTAGTAAGCACAGAGCTAAAGAGCACAGGAAACAAGATCCTCAGCCACCCCAGACTGGTGCAGTGTTGTCACTCTGTATCTCAGCTGCTTCAGGCCTGAGATGAAAAAAAGATGTGTTTCTCAGCTGTGAGAGATGATTAGTAGTGCTCACCATACAAGGCCTTTCATCTAGTTCAAACAGAAATTAGGGTCCCAGTGTCTTTCATGTTGAGAACTCTGTGCTTTTCTAAGAGAACTGTCAAAGAGTAGTTCCTCGATTTGTTAATCAGTTGTCATGCAATTGCTGAAGCATGAACAGAAAAGTTGCCTGAATAATGGGAAGATAAGCTTGCCCATTAAGAAGGGATTAAAATAGAAGGAGCAATAGGCTGTAATTGGCATGATGAAAATGTAAGCTACGTTTGCTAGCAAATATGTATGAGGTTTCATTCTGTTTTGGTTGAAGTTCTTTTAGAATTCATTCCTGTTATGACAAATTCTCATAGAGTAGGAAAGATGTAAATTGTGCATCTTTAGCATTTCAGCATCATGCACAATAATAATTTTTTTTCCCTTGTTGCCTAGAATTAGTTTTTTTAATTGAATCGGAAAAGGCAATAAAATTTACAGGTTTGGAATGAGTTAGAAAAAAAATAATATATACACCTAAATACAAGAACTACAAAGTCTGAGTTGTTAAGTATAAATTACAAAGAAAGAGTTTGTGCACTAGGATATGCTCTGAATTTGTCTATCAGTTTGTATGAGTATAAATAATTTATCCAAATGAAGTTACATAAAGTTTTCTGCAAAGAAATTTCAAAAAACATTCTTGCAAACAGTTTGTGTAGTGTATATTCCTTGCCTGGCCTGATTTTAGAAATATAGGTAAGATTGCCTTATTCCAATTTTATGATGTGTGGCATATGAGACTGTTGACTGACTGTAAACTGTGTAAACTACCACTTATTTCTAATGACCTTTGATTTAATTAGGGAGAAAGAAATGGAGTGGAGAAAATGAGTGGAAAAGAGGAAAGAAATTAGTGGAATAAAAATAAACTTTTTTAACATAATGCCAGAAAGTTTGATACATGATGCATTTCAAATATCAGATTAATCCTTTTCAGACTTCACCCTAACAGCTGTTTTAGTTGTGCAGGTTTTGAAATTGGTGGGGATCTCTCTCCAGTACTTAATTTTTCCTGGGTTTATTGTTTGAGTGTCTGGGTACATTTTATCCCCTTCTTTATCTTAGTCTAACAAAAGTGTCCAGCCAGCTGAAACTGAACTCCTGTGCTGATGGCAGGTGCTCCTGTTCAGGTAGTCCTGAATCTAACAATGGCTTAATATTTGTACACATGCAATATAGTAGTGTTGAAGAAGCGCAGCTCTTTCATAATGTAACTATCTAAATAAAACCTGAGAGGTTTTTATCCTTTTTGAGGCAACTAATTTTATCCAAATATTCTACTGCTTCTCCACCTTTTCTCTTTATTACAGTTTAAATGTTTCAAAATCTGACACTTTTATACAGGGAGTGCAATAGCCTTCCAAGGAGTACTAAGGGAATAAATGTTATCCACCCCAAAATGCCCTTCTCTGCTCAGTTCAAGTTAAGATTAAACAGGCTTTTGAAGAAAAAAAATACATGCCTTCTGTGTGTTTGTAGAGTAATTCTCTTGAGCTCACATGGCTATTTGTCAGGTTAACCATCACTTTAGATAAGCTGTAGTCTGTCAGATGGTAGAGGACAAGTCCTGTCTCATCTTCCATACAAAGTGGGACTTCTGGACTTACAGTTCTTTTTGACTCGAGGAAGACATGACTGACATTTAGATTCTTTTCTGATCATTTGATTGGCAGTAATATTTGTACAACAATCCTCTTCCTGCCATGTCTCATGTTCTGAATAGGGAAGTACTGGAAGTGGATTGTAACTTTGCACAACTTCACTCTTTTTGCAAATTCAGATGGCATTGTTGTATCAGTGATGATAAAAATCTGAAATTCTGGGAAACAGAAGACTGCAAAGAAAGTGGCATTTAATAGTGAACAACCGGGTTTCGGCCTGTCCCAAAGTGTGGAGTATTTTGTTTCTGCCATTTTAAATCTAAATCTTGCCACACTTCATGTAATTAGTTTTGTGGCCTCTGCCAGAGCACTTGTGACTCAATCACCTTATTTTTCTTCAGCCACTTGGCCACTGACTTTCTTAAATGAATTTGAACTTGGCTGCCTCTCAAAGTAAGGGGTTTCCTGCAGATGCACCCAGAAGGTGAGTGCTGTACTGAGTCCAGGATGCAATGGAATCTTCTTCCTCTCACTGTTTGAGTTGTGAGGAGCCACACTCAGAAGCTTTGAGGGAGTTTGATTGCATAGCTGGAGTTCATATCTGCACTGATGGCCAGACGCATGCAGTCATTTGCTTACCTTGCATTGGTAAGATTGTAAAAAATGCACAGATTTTACAAGCCTTCCTCACAGTTTTCTGTGCAGAGCTCCTTTGGAATGTTGTTTCACAGCAGAAAAGCACCAGAAGCCCTGGCTCTGAGTGACACCCACTCATCAGAGAATGATGGGGACCTGCAGGGCTGCTCTTACCTGTCCTGGATTAACCAGGCACTGCTTTGAACTAGGGGCTGCTCACTGGGTTCAACTTTGTAGTGATAGTGCTCCTACAGTTCACTGCCAGTGCAGAGCATGGCTTTTCTGAGCTGAGGCCAGAAGTGACAACTGCTTCATTCATTTAGACTGAATTACCACCATTTGGAGAGAAAGAGCATGTTTCTTCTTGTGATTTATCAAGATATTTAAATTAGAGTAATTTTTCCTAAACAATTATATCAGTAGGCATCTCTGTATGAATTCCTTAATTTTGGGTGAACTGTTCCTTACTTAAACTGAAATTATCCTTTCAGTTAATTTCTGGCAGATAAGAAATGTTTCCAAAGCTAGGCGCTGCTTTTAATGACGTGAGCTCCTGCAGGAAAATTAAGTGGAAACTGTGTGCTTTTAATGTTTAGCACTAAGTAAAACTATTTGCATGAAAAACTGGCAACTTTGTTGGTAAAGGGTAGAAGTAAACCCATCCCTTCTGCTGTCTGAGACCCCAAGCCCTTTCCTCACTCCCACATCAAGCTCTGGGGCTGTTCCTACACTCATCTGGCTGCTGTAGCTGTTGGTCTCGGGTGTATCTTGGCTCAGTGTTCTTTGACAATACACAGAAACTCTGGACTAAGAGGAGAAATTCCCATTGCAAGTTTACACTGCAGATGGGAAGTCTTGAGTGTGCCATGGGGAGGTCAGCTTGACTGCCCACTGCCCCCTGTGTGTGCCAAGAGCTGGGAGTGACAGAGTTCAGGTGTCTCCACCCCTGCCCCTTGTCCTGACAGGTCCCTGAGCCTCTGCCTGGACCTTACAGTGCTGCTGACCACAATGAGCCAAAAAAAGGGAATGTGCTGCTCGTGGGGCCAAAGGCATGC